TTAAATTGGGTTTGGTATGTTTGGCATCTGTGACCTCATAGCTAGCTTGGAATAACAATACATACATAGTTCTAACAACATGGCATAGTAATGGTTGAGGTTCAGAGAGCATATGCCTGTAATTTGAATATCTAATCCAATTTTCGGAATGAGTTTGTGGAGAATCTACATAGATGGGGGAAAATATTAGTTACTGGGAGAAAATGGAAAATATCATATTTTAAAATTTCCTAATTATTAAGTAAGAACTAATAAATTGGGTTATAAATTTAAAGAAAAGGCTGTGCATGGTTAGATTTTTTTCCATAGAAAAGGTCTTCTCAGAGTCAGTTTAAAATATTCCTAGGAAAAATGTCCCCAGTTAGTAATCGTTAAATAGTTGAAAAGATGAAAAAACTGCAACCAACTTCAAACTGCTGTCATTTCTAAGCCACTTGTCCGACAGCTTTTAAAATTATTCCAGTGACAGCTCATTATATTATTTACAAGCGCACAAAAGAATTTTGGTGAGAATTTTCCGGAAAAAAAGTTATTCGTGATGGAATTGAAGCGTGATAGTGTGATTTCTTTATATTTTGGCAGGAAAACCCCAAATGGCTATTGTTAGAGCACTCCAGCATTTAAATGTGAATAAATCTTTTGTGTCTGGTACCATCGCTGTTCCTGTGATATTGGTAGCGTAGCCCGACGTCAAGGAAGTGGACAGAAGAAAACAGCAACATCTGCAGAAATGGTTCGAAAAGTAAAGAAACGACTTGATCGAAACCCGAGTCGCAGTGGCCGAAAAATTGCTCGTGAGCTGAACATATCACAATATTCCATTCGGCAAATATTGAAAAAATGAGCCCGGGGTAAAGCCATTGAAATTCCAAAAAAGTGCAAGAACTTACACCGCAGCAGAAAGAAAATAGACTCAAAGGAGCTAAAGAGTTGCTTCGCTTGGCCGAAAGTAGTGAACTGCCGATTTGGTTTTCTGCGATGAGAAAACATTCGTTGTCCAGCAATTTGTAAAGAAACAACATGATCGTGTTTACTTGCAAAAGAGGTCAGCTGAAAATGTGCACCTTCGGTTGACCATCAGATTTGGCATATCTCAATATTCCTATCAACACAAGTTCATTTATGAAGATGGCAGAGATCGAATCATTCCTTTTAGTACCTCCCTCACAAATGGTCAATTTAAAAAAAAAAAAAAAAACAAAATTTTATAGAATTTGAAATAAGCATCCGATTTTCTTTGTATTTCACATATCCCATTATTTTTTACTAACCAATAGATCTGCTATGAAGATGGGATATATCGGTCTCCAACTTATGTCACCTTCCCCACAAAGGGTCAAAATATTGAATATCCACGTAGCCCGAAATTAACGTCCGATTTCATTCCATCAACACAAATCCGATCGGATCATTACTTCTGGGACCCCGCCCACATAAGGTTCAAAACAAAACGCTCAAAAAAAAAACGATGCTTATTTCGCATCCAACTCCCCTCAATTGTCACACATACAAACATATTTGCTAACACAATATCTGGGTGAAATAAAAAAAAATGAAAAAAAACAAACGCCAAAATTTTTCAAATTTTATTGAATGAAAGCAAAAAAAATTCGGAAATAGCATCACATTTTAGAATAAGTTTAGATTTGTTTGAATTGATCACCTTTTGCACGAATTATGGCCTTCAAACGGCCAATGAAACCGTCACACTCTGCCCAAATGTAACAATCCGTTCCAGGCGAAGCGCTTGCTTGAGGTGATCGAAACTTTGGTATTTTTTAGTGCCAACCTTGCCTTAAAATATACCCCAGACAGAATAGTCCAACGGATCGTTATCCGGAGATTTTGGTGGTGGAGCATTGTGCGCTGGAAAAGAAGCGAGGAACCTCATTTTGTAACCATTCTTGACTGGCTCGTGTTGAGTACGATGGTGCTGAGTACTGTTGGAATGTCCAAGGTCTGCGGACAAAATGTTTGCGTGCACAAGGCTTTAATACACCCTCCAGAGTATTTTCGCGATAATATTCGTCATTTATTCTGATGCCACGGTCGTTTAATACTAGCGGAGAACGACCATCGGCTGTTATGGCGGCCCACACCATAACCATAGTCGGCGCTTGAGTTCTGGTGGCCAAACGAAGGTGCACATTTTCAGCTGACCTCTTTGGCAAATAAACACGATCATTTAGTTTCGTTACAAACTGCTGGACAACGAATATTTTCTCATAGGAGAAGACCAAATTCGGCAGTTCACATCTTTCGGCCAAGCGAAGCTACTCTTTAGCTCTTTTGAGTCTATTTTCTTTCTGTTGCGGTGTAAGTTCTGGTACTTTTTGGAATTTTAATGCATTTACACCGAATTTATAATATATGCGACACGGGTTTCGATCGAGTCGCTTCTTTACTTTTCGAACCATTTCTGCTGATGTTGCTGTTTCCCTTCCGTCCACTTCCTTGACGTCGGGCTACGCTACAAGTATCATGGTAACGAGCGATCGTATGAGATACAAAAGATTTATTCACATTTTAATGCTGGAGTCCTCTAACGATAGCCACTTCTGGGTTTCCAGCCAAATATAAAGAAATCACTCTATCTCGCTTCCATCACGAATAACTTTTTTTTCTAGAAAATTCTCACCAAAATGCTTTTGCACGCTTGTCAACAATATACTGATATGTCACTGGAATAATTTTAGTAGCTGTCGGACGGCTTAGAAATGACAGCAGTCTGAAATTGGTTGCCGGTTTTTTCAGCTCACACTGTATGTTTCATCCTATTTGGGTTTGCGTTCCTCACATTCGTAATATACACTCCACAACAATGATATTTGAAAACAGATATCAGATTTGCCCCAGAAATACCTCTGCCAAATTTTATCGAAACCGCTTCAGATATGGATATAGCTCCCATACATATATTTATCCGATTTGACGTTTAATGCATATCAAATAATTATCTTGCCCACATCTATTTAAGTTACTTTGCTTTTAGCACCTCCCCCATACGTAAAATGACCGTTTAACGGTTATGGATTAAGAAAACGGTTTTTAGATAATCAAACTTACTACCTTTCCAAAATGATTGTAGAATACAAAAACCTCGTATTTCCGCGTCGGAACTATTTAAATGGAACAGTCGCTTCGGCCCTTCAAAGCAAAAAAAAATAATAGCCTCCTAAAAATAGTTTTTATTTGAAGAGCCCTTAATAGATCTTCTATATGTAAAATATATCGAGCATAATGGTCTCCTCTTCATTGTAATTCCTCCATCCTTAAAAGACCCTTGAGAGTCATGTATTACGAATATAACCAGTAAAAAAAGTCCTAAAGTCCTGCGGGGCCGACTTTATGATACCCTACACCACTTTGCTAATTAAGTAGACCTGCGCATCAAACATTAAAAGATTTTATGGGAGAATTCAATCATACACGCTATGATTATAATTGTAATTTAAAGTTCAAAGGACTAAATATTCCGAAGCATTTGTATCTTTTAAATTCGGACTTGTATTGCCCATTTGGTGCAAAATTAATTTGAAATCAGATAAAGATATATATGGGAGCTATATCCAAATCTGAACCGATCTCGTTAAAATTTGGCAAAGATATATCTGAGCTGTATTTGATATATTTCCCGGAATATCGTTGTTACGGAGTGCATATTACGGTTGTGGGTAGCAAATACAACAAATCGGATGAACAATATATATATATGGGAGCTATAGCTATAGCTGAACCGATCTTCACCAAATTTGACATACTAGCTTCTAGACTCAATTCGATCGCATGTGCCAAATTCCATCCCATTTGGGCAAATATTAGACGTCTGGTGTACAATAAAATGTAAATCGGACGAAGTTATATATGGGAGCTATATCCAAAACTGAACCGATCTCGATAAAATTTAGCAAAGGTATTTCTGAGCTGCATTTGATATATTTCCCCAAATATTGCTGTTACAGAGTGCATATTACGGCTGCGGAGGACAAAAATAACAAATCGGATGAACAATATATATATAGGAGCTATAGCTATAGCTGAACCGATTTCGATCAAATTTGGCATATTTATTTTCAGGCCTAATTTGGTTGTATGTGCAAAATTCCATACAAAGATATATATGGGAGCTATATCTAAATTTTGACCGATTATCTCCAATTTCAATAGGGTTCGTCCTTGAGCCAAACAAATGTTGTTTGGAAAATTTCATCTCAATCGGATAATAAATGCGACCTGCATTTTGTTCACAAGAATACATGGACAAACGGACGGACAGACGGACTGACATGCATAAATCAACTCAGAAAGTGATTCCATGGAGATTCTCAAAAGTAACTATTGGTCTATCTCGCTTCCTTCTCCATGTTATAAACAAATGCACGAAGACATAATACCCTTACCACTATGTGGTGTAGGGTATAAAAACCTACTGGCAATAGAAGACAACTTAAGGGTGCTCTATCTCCAGAAGATCTGTTTAAAGTGTCGATCACTGAAAGACCTCTTGAGATCCTCCAAGCTCTTGAAATGACTTCACAGATGTCCTTAATCTATAGGCGAATTTTTGAGAGTATTTGTCCATAGAAGAACCCATAGAGGACTAATATCTATAGAAGACAAATAAAGGTCTGGTATTTCCAGAAGATCTGTTAAAAATACCAATGTGTGGCCTCATAAAGACTTTATATCTGGAGAAGTCTTTATAAAGGTACTCTCTCTTTCTCTCTCTATGGAATACCCCGTATGGAAGCACCCCTAAAATTTTTCTATCCAAAGAATAACTCATAAGTCCTTCTCTAAAAGAGAACCAATTCTTATCAAGAACAATTGTTTCCTTCTATGTAGAATATACCCTTCTCTTTCCCGTATTTTTAACCATTTTTCCCACGTCGGATTATCATTTCGTGTTTATTATTTTTTAATTTCTTCTTCCTATAAAAATGAAGACCATTATTCTTTTCAAACCTTTCTGAAGCGCAAATAAAAATTTCCGTTTTCAATTAACTTTCTCTTAGAGCTTTATTTATAAATGCCGAAACTTTTAGCTTGGCCACATTCAACGCCACGGAATCCTCGAGGTTTATTGAACCCAAATCCTCAACGTGGCCATAACCTGCATGCATGCATTTTGGTAATAACAGCAACACCAAAAACAAGAAGGAACAACAAAAAATATTAATTAAAAATATACATAGAAAGTTATTCCACACACACACCTTCCAAGAGCAAGACATTGCGGCCATGTTGCATGCCCACCGCACGCCAAGGATCCAGACGGCCATGGGTGAAAATCACATTCTGTGAAATGTTTGTGAGACCACCAAAAATGTGGTTGGTTCTCCATTCGCGGGAATAGAGTTCTTGAAGTGTAAGGCCACCAGCACTTGGCATGTTCGGTGATAGTAGTGTTGCTGTTGTTATTCTACTTCGTTGAAATACATCCTGACATAAATTGCGGAAAAACTTTAAGGCAACTTGGCCACCAAATACATTGTGAGCTGCAACATCGTTGGATGTTGTTGTTGCAAACCAACCAAATTCATTGCAGGTTTGATAAAACCAACAGCGATCTAAAGCAAGTGGATGAGAGAGGGGTGGTGTAAATTTTGTTCACAAAACAAAAGTTTTAAATTAAAAATTGAATATTTAAGTCAAATGCATATCTTACTGCCATTAAAAATGTCATCATCTTCGGACGAAAACAGCGACTTCATGCCTTCATAGGAAAGATCTAGACACCATATCTGGCTATGGCCATGACTTTTCGTTTCGTCTTGAGAGTGGGGTAAAAATACATCTCTTATGTGCTGCACCAATGCATCCGTGGGTGTTGTATCCTTTTCCGTGAATTGTTGACAAAACTGGGTCACAAATTTACTGTGGAAGGAATTGTCCTTCGTTAGGTGTTGTAAGAAAAATTTGCCATATTTACCTTGACAACTGGGCCATGGCAGCGAAATAATTTCCTAAGCCATTAAAGAAAGCCGAAATATCCAATTCATTGTTAGTATCGAAATTGGAACACATTTGAAGATTGTAAAGCAGCTCTTTGGAGGCTGATGAGCTGAGAAGGATACGGTGAAGATCCTGGAATCCTTTTTCTAACTTTTCGGAACATTCGGTGCCGCCTTTGTGCTCAATGACATCCATTGTCAAGGTCATGAATTCTGAAAAAGGCAAAGAATGCAATTTTAAAAATATGCAGCTTCAGGGACGTTTGAAAAACTTATTTTTTATTGGTGTCCTGTTGAAAACCCTCTAATATCATTTTATCAAAGGATAAATTCTTCGAGGTCTAGCTTTGAAAAATCTTCCTCACAAAATTTTATTATCCTGTCACAATTTGAGAGATAGGGACCAATGATTTTTGAACCAATGATAAAAAAAATTGCCAATTAAGAAAGGTCAAAAGTCGGGCAAGGCCGACTCTTGTAACAAAAACAAGTATAAAAGCAGCTTAGTTCAGTCGGGCCAAACTTTTACCATCCTCCACCATTTTGAAGGAACTTGAAAAGTTTCGCTCAAAAAAATCGTTATCTATACGAAGACGTGGTCTTGCACATACAATTTTTTGTCATAGGCTGTAGTACCCATTACGAACTTTAAATATGAAATTTGATCAATATTGGGGGATACAGTTGTGTAGAGGCTTTCGGATATCGTGGACCTATATAGACAATTCTCTACCAGAAGGTAAAGTATTCAGAACGAACTCCCTGTGTGGATTTTCAGACAATTCCATTGAAAAATTTGGCTACAATAATCAAAATTCCGAATATTGGGGGGGACCGTTATATGGGGTATATACGATATCGTAGACCTATATGTGTCTCGAACCATCGCTCGCTACCTTGATACTGGTAGCGTAGACCGACGTCAAGGAAGTGGACGAAAGAAAATAGCAACATCAGCAGAAATGGTTCGAAAAGCGACTTGATCGAAACCCGTGTCGCAGTGGCCGAAAAATGTCTCGTGAGCTGAACATATCGCAATATTCCATATCGCAATATTCCAGAACTTACACCGCAACAGAAAGAAAATAGACTCAAGAGAGCTAAAGAGTTGCTTCGCTTGACCGAAAGTGGTGAACTGTCGAATTTGGCTTTCTCCGATGAGAAAAGATTCGTTGTCCAGCAGTTTGTAAAAAACAAAATGATCCTGTCTACTTGCCAAAGAGGTCTGAACCTTCAGTTGGCCACCAGAACTCAAGCGCCGGCCATGGTGATGGTGTGGGCCGCAATAAGAGCCGATGGTCGCCTTCGGCTCGTATTAATCGACCGTGCTGATTATTATCGCAAAAATATTCTGGAGGGTGTATTAAAGCCTTGGGCTTTATTTAGTCCTTGACCTTGGATATTCTAACAGGACTCAGCACCATCGCACTTAGCACGAGCCACCAAAGAATGGTTACAAAATGAGGTTCCTCGCTTCAAATCCAGCGCACAATGGCCACCAAAATCTCCGGATACCAATCCGTTGGACTATTGTGCCTAGAGTATTTTGGAAAACAAGGTTGGCACTATAAACTACCAAAGTGTCGATCACCTCAAGCAAGCGCTTCGCCAGAAATGGGCCAAAATACCGCAGAGCAACATTCGGGCAGCTTGTGACGATTTCATTGGCCGTTTTAAGGCCATAATTCGTTCCTAAGATGACCAATTCGAACAAACCTAAACTTATTTTAAAATTTGATGCTATTTCCGACATTTTTTTGCTTTCTTTCAATAAAATTTCAAAAAAAAAATTGTAAAAATTACGGTGTTTGAATTTTTTTCAGTTTTTTTATCTCACCATGTATTAGGAACTTCGAATGCGAAATTTCAAACAAATTGATGAATATTTTACCTAAAATCGTCGAAATACCTAATATAGGGAGTTATTGATATATACGAAGGGAAACCTGGACCTGAACAGACCATTTTCTGTCATAGACTGTAGTTCACATTTCGAACTCTAAATACGAAATTTGAAGCAACTCCGCTGAATAATGTCGCTAAAGTCCTCAAATTTAAAATATTTGGGAGTTACCGTAACATGGGCGAAACGGTACCAAATGTAGTACATTTTAGTACTTTTTCTACACTCATAGTGCGAATTTTCAAAAACCCTTTGATACATCCATCATACATTCCAGCAATGAGAGTTCTAGCTCCACTAGCTCGTTGAATACAATTGAGAACATTTTAGAACTTTTCGTACAGTTCTAGTACGAATTTCCAAAAACCCACCCAAAATTGTTTTCTGAGGGTTTATAAATCAGTCAAGTCAGTCAAATATATATGAATCCTAATTTACCATGGAAATCCATTTTTGCCAACAGAGGGGCACTGGAAGCCCAAGCCACATTCGCCTCATTCGGATAGAGTTTCATAAACCAGGCCGCCATGCTGCCCGAATAAGAGGCACCAAGCAATACTACCTTGGAACTGGCCAAATCTCTCAGAGACGATTTTTGATATTTTATAAAATATCTTAAATCCTCCAAAGATTGCCGAACACTTAAATACTCCAAAGCCTCCACAGCAGCTGAACTGAAAAATAAAATTTAACAAAAGCAATTAATTATATTTTCGTCTTTTAATTAATTTTAAATCCTCCCTTACTCCTTTGGCCAACTCTTGCCATAGAAACGATGTTCCGTATAAAACATAATGGCATTATGTTGTCTGGCCATGTCATAGAAATGACCTTCACTCAAGAGATTAGGATGTATTTCCCATTCGCCGCCCACCACAATGAACATGGGGCCTCCCGGTTCATAGAATTCACGGTTGACAAGGTAACGCTAAATTTCAAAATTTCGAAAACAATTTAATTTTCTAATACAAAAAGAGGTCAATTACCATCATCCATTGCTCCTCAATTCCGCTCTGATTGGTAGTCTCTCCTGTTTCCTCAAAAAAATGATCCAGTTTTTGAGTTAGCCACATTTCTTGCACCGCATCCGTGGCATAATGACTTCGATTATTTGGCCCGCCACCTCCCATCCACCAACGGCCATTTAACTGGATTTCGGAAATTTTCTCATACGGATTTATGCGCTCAACATTTACGGCAACCACTAACGTATTTCGCCAGATTAACAGCTGTAGTGCAACGAATAACAGCAACAGCTGCCGCGACTGCCGTTGCTGAAACTTTGCAAGCGTAATTAATGTGCGGCTCTTAATCATTTCCACCAAAGAGTACATAAATTATTTGCAATGTCTGGCACTTTTATGCAGAAATTATTATTAAGCGGAAATTAGTCGGTAAGTTTCGGAAATGCATGCGGGTGCTGAAACCCGTAGTTTATCGATTTTTTTTTGCTGTGCTATATTTATTGACATTCACATGTTTGCGGTAAAATTGTCAATGTTGGTTTGGCTGTAGAAAGTGAAATGTTTACATTCATTATTGGGGTGAAGTACCAAATAAAAATAAAGGTGAAAAGTGGGTCAAATCGATAGCAGAAAATGTAGAACGGGACAAAAACTGATAAAAAGTGGCCTTTCAAAGTGGATTGTTGAAGGGGTCTGAACGTGAAGTTTTTTGAGAAATTGTCGAGGGCATATAATCCTGGATTTTTTAAGGTCCCTAACCCTATTGAAAAAACATAATCGTGGATAAGCGTGGATTTTAGCCATAAGCGTGGATTTTTTAAAGAATATTTTTCAAGGACCATCTGAGCCATAAGTGTGGATTTTTAAAGAATATTTTTCAAGGACCATGTGAGCCATAAGCGTGGATTTTGTAAAGAATATTTTTCAAGGACCATCTGAGCCATAAGCGTGGATTTTTTAAAGTATATTTTTCAAGGAACATTCGGATTTTTTAAAGAATATGTTGCAAGGACCATCTGAACCATAAGCGTGGATTTCTTTAAAGAATATTTTTCAAGGACCATCTGAACCATAAGCGTGGATTTTTTAAAGAATATTTTTCAAGGACCATCTGAGCCATAAGCGTGGATTTTTTAAAGAATATTTTTCAAGGACCAACTGAATAATAAGCGTGGATTTTTTAAAAAATATTTTTCAAGGACCATCTGAATAATAAGCGTGGATTTTTTAAAAAATATTTTTCAAGGACCATCTGAATAATAAGCGTGGATTTTTTAAAAAATATTTTTCAAGGACCATCTGAATAATAAGCGTGGATTTTTTAAAAAATATTTTTCAAGGACCATCTGAATAATAAGCGTGGATTTTTTAAAAAATATTTTTCAAGGACCATCTGAATAATAAGCGTGGATTTTTTAAAAAATATTTTTCAAGGACCATCTGAATAATAAGCGTGGATTTTTTAAAAAATATTTTGCAAGGACCATCTGAACCATAAGCGTGGATTTTTTAAAGAGTATTTTGCAAGGACCCTATGAACCATAAGCGTGGATTTTTTAAAGAATATTTTTCAAGGACCATCTGAGCCATAAGCGTAGATTTTTTATAGAATATTTTTCAAGGACCATCTAAATCATAAGCGTGGATTTTTTTAAGTATATTTTTCAAGGACCATTTGGATTTTTTAAAGAATATTTTTCAAGGACCATCTGAGCCATAAGCGTAGATTTTTTATAGAATATTTTTCAAGGACCATCTGAATCATAAGCGTGGATTTTTTTAAGTATATTTTTCAAGGACCATTTGGATTTTTTAAAGAATATTTTGCAAGGACCCTCTGAACCATAAGCGTGTATTTTTTAAAGAATATTTTTCAAGGACCATCAGAACCATAAGCGTGGATTTTTTAAAGAATATTTTTCAAGGCCCATCTGAGCCATAAGCGTGGATTTTGTAAAGAATATTTTTCAAGGCCCATCTGAGCCATAAGCGTGGATTTTTTAAAGAATATTTTTCAAGGCCCATCTGAGCCATAAGCGTGGATTTTGTAAAGAATATTTTTCAAGGCCCATCTGAGCCATAAGCGTGGATTTTTTAAAGAATATTTTTCAAGGCCCATCTGAGCCATAAGCGTGGATTTTGTAAAGAATATTTTTCAAGGCCCATCTGAGCCATAAGCGTGGATTTTTTAAAGAATATTTTTCAAGGATCATTCGGATTTTTTAAAGAATATGTTGCAAGGACCATCTGAACCAAAAGCGTGGATTTTTTAAAGAATATTTTTCAAGGATCATTCGGATTTTTTAAAGAATATGTTGCAAGGACCATCTGAACCAAAAGCGTGGATTTTTTAAAGAATATTTTTCAAGGATCATTCGGATTTTTTAAAGAATATGTTGCAAGGACCATCTGAACCAAAAGCGTGGATTTTTTAAAGAATATTTTTCAAGGATCATTCGGATTTTTTAAAGAATATGTTGCAAGGACCATCTGAACCATTAGCGTGGATTTTTTTAAAGAATATTTTTCAAGGACCATAAGCGTGGATTTTTTAAAGAAAATTTTTCAAGGACCATCTGAGCCATAAGCGTGGATTTTTTAAAGAATATTTTTCAAGGACAATCTGAGCCATAAGCGTGGATTTTTTAAAGAAAAAATTTCAAGGACCATTTGAGCCATAAGCGTGGATTTTTAAAGAATATTTTTCAAGGACCATCTGAGCCATAAGCGTGGATTTTGTAAAGAATATTTTCAAGGCCCATCTGAGCCATAAGCGTGGATTTTTAAAGAGAATTTTTCAAGAACGTCTGATCCATAAGCGTGTTTATTTTAAAGAATATTTTTCAAGGACCATCTAAACTATAAGCGTGTTTTTTTAAAGAGTATTTTTCAAGGACCATCTATAAGCTTGGTTTTTTAAAGAATATTTTTTAAGGATCATTTGAAGGACCTTAAAGTGATTTTTAAGGAAGTGTTCAAGAGCTCTAAACGTGGTTTTTTAAGAATTGTCGAAGGAATATGATCTAGGTTTTTCTAACAATTTGGGAAGGAATATAATCTACCCTATAACCCATTCCCGTGCACTTTTTAAGAATGTGTAAAGGCTTTTAGCTTGGATTTAGGGGTTTTCTGGGTCTTTTAACTTGAATTTTTTAAGAATTTGTAGAATTTGTATAGGTCTCTAAACCTCAATTTTTAAGGGATATTTTAAAGGGCTTAAAACGTGGATTTTTACGAATTTTCAAGGGACTTTTGAACTAATATTTAAGAGTGAGTTAAAAAAATTACAAGGTTTTTTTTTTTTTTGATTATTTTTCAAGGCCACTAAATGAGAATATTTTAAAGAATAAGACATTCCTGTGAGCCGTAAACGTGGATTTTATTAAGACCATCCTGTAACCCATAGATTTAGATTTTTAAGTATTTGTAAAGGCTATCCTGTGGCCTATAAAAGCGTATTTTTTAAGAGTTTTCAAAGGCAATGTTTTAGCTTATTCACTTGAATTTTTTATAGGACATATAAACGTGGATTTTTGAAGACTATCCTTAGGTATTAGCCATTAAGCCTGGAACCTGGATAAATGTAATTTTCAACGTGATCCTTTGGTCAATAAATGTGGATTTTCTAAAGTATTTTGAAAGGCCTCTATAAGTGGATTTTTTAACTTTTTTTTAAAGCCTCTGGGCCAGAATTTTTAGCGGCATCAACACTAGGATGCATCCATCTTGTAACCCATTAACTTGGATTTTGTAAGGAATTTTTAAAGGGCACACTGTTCCCCCCAAACATTGGATTTTTTAAAGGCTATATTTTGGTCTATCTTGCTTCTAGACGTAAACTTCTTCTATAATTTTTAATTATAGCACCTAATCATTAATTAAGAAAAGGGTCTTCTATAAACTATATTGCAGTTTTTTAAGATTTTTATAGGCCATCCTATGGATTTTTTCATACAATTTTTAAAGGCCATCCTTTGATCCATATTGCCTCTAGACGAAAGAATTTTGAAATATCCATACCTAGTCCTAAAATACAGACCAAAGGAAGGTCTTTAAAAAATCATCGTTTAGTGGCCATAGGATATCCTTTCAAAGTAGTAGTCTATAGGATGCTCTTTAAAAATTATATAAAAATTTACGTTTAAGGGCTCTGGGATCACCTTTAAAAATTGCCAAAAAAAAAATCACTGTTACCCCAAAAATTGGAATTTTTAAAGGCAATCCTTTGACATATCTTGCCTCTAGACGTGGTCTTTTTAAAGAATTTTTGAAGGTCCCCAACAAGCCCCTAATCATTGATTTTTCAAAAATTTTCAAAGGCCATCCTGTCGACAATAACGCGGTTTTCATAAGATTTTTAAGGGCCAATCTATAGCCACAAAACTTGGATTTTTTAAGAGTTTTTTAGGGTCATCATATGGCCTCTTAGTGATCATATGGTCAAAGGCGATCCAATTGTTTTTTTTTTTAATTTGTAAGAATATCCGGATGCCTCTATAGGTTGGTTTTATAAGATTTTTTCCAATGACCACCTGGACTTTTTTTAATGATTTTTTCTACCCTCCACCAGAGCTTTGTAGGGTATGTTATATATGATATACGTTTGCAACCCCTCGAAATATTCGTAGGAGCCCCCAAAAAGGACATATATTCTTGATCAGAATAAAATTAATTATAATAAAGGCGATTTAGCTATGTCCGTGTGTCTATCCGTCTGTATGTCCTTTGAAATCGCGATAAAGTCTACACTATTTAATCCAGAGCTTTGAAATATGAATCAAATGTTTATATTATTTGCAGACTACAGAAGACGGGCTCTATTGTTTAGGTATAGTCACCATATAACGGTACCTCCCGATTTTCGGTATTTTGAAGGTTTCAGCCACAATTACAATGAAACTTGACTATTGGAGTTCTCAGTAGGCCTGTTCTCTCCGTGCAAAAAATATTCGCTACAGCTCCACTAATTGATATAGACCCCATTTAATGCTACCTCCCGATTTTCGGTATTTTGAAGAGTTCTGTCACAATTTCCCAACCAAATCAGCTGGGGTTCTTGAAAGGTTTGTTCTCATCTTACAAAAGATGTTCGATTCTGGTCCATTACA